ATTAGATGTCAGTGTCTCACACGGTCGCACCTGGCCGTATATACCTGGCCACGAAATGCCTCTCGACTCGGTTTCACCCGCTTTTATTGCCTCTAAGAGGACAGAAGCAAAGGTCCTGTGAGAGATTTTTTAAACAGCAGATAGACGGGTTTTTTCGGATGGTGAGAGGAGAAAATAAACCCGCTTTTCACTTCTTCTGGTGTCTCCTCCCAGGTGAGGTTTCTGGGTTCAGGGCCTGTGTTTTTGAGCGGAAAAATGGGGGCCTCGGCACTTTATCGGCGTGATGAGATCTCAGATGACATTCTGAAAATTTGACACAAGTTCAGCCGTCTGATGAAATCCGCTTTTGTCCTCCGAGAGACGCCGGTCAGTTTGTGACTCTCAATAAAACATCCCCACCGCCTCATAAAGGCTTTCAGTTGCTCCTAATACGATAAAACGATAATAAAAACAACAGCCATCTCTGCTTTAAGATGTCTGGTGAAGATAAGACACCAACTGCTGAGAGAAAACAGACGAAACAAGGAAAAAAGGAATGAAAAAAGTGGTAGAAATGAATTGAAATGAATGGAAATATTCTCACTTTGTAACAAGTAAATGACTCACACAGACTGGTGGTTAGATAACGTTCACTTGTTCGTTTTAAGTGTGAAACTCTGCCTTGGAGAGGATTCCAGAAACCTGAGGGAACATCAAATCGCAGGTTATTTTGTTCGTGCAATCGGGTGCAGAAAGTTGCATGTTTCTTACTTTGTGAGAGCCCAGACTCAAAAATACTTTAATAATCCTAGAGGGCAATTATTTAGTAGTCCAGAATTACCTTCTTGGTTGTTTAACTCTTCCAGCTGCTCGATTCTGGACGTTTTAGAGATGATTCCTCTTTTATTTGATATGCTACATGACCCCCTTCCCCTTTGAAAAACTCCCCCTTCATCCAATATGGCGGCTTTCAAGATGGCCGCCATGTTCAGGACACAGCCTGAAAGGTAGGCACCCTCACCCATTAATGCTAAGGGGTTCAGACATGTCTTTTCCAGGAAATAAAAAGCATCCTGTGAGTTTTAACTTTTCTATTGGTTGGAAATGTTTTCAAAGCATTTAGGCTAGCTAAAGGCTAATTCAGTTTCAAACTACAAGGTTAATCCTCAAGATATCCAGATGCAGATAAATCTGAATCAGAATCAGAAATACTTTGATAATCCCAGAGGGAAATAATTTAGTAGTCCAGAATTACCCTCATGGTTGTTAAACTCTGGACTCTTCCGGCTGCTCGATTTTGGACGTTTTAGAGCAAAAAAATGCAGATTACAGGTGGTATATTCTCACTCTGCTGTTTGATGAATTATTATGATAACGAGTGTGAGTCATTTCCCTTCAGCAGCGTTCACAGAGGAGGCGGTTAGAAAGGGAGAAAACACACTGATTCATATCAAAATATTCTGCTGAGGCTTTTACGGGAATCTGCATTTGCCACATCTGTGGCGTTCGAAATATCAAAATATCTCTGCTGCTGGTTTATCCTGATGAATGTGGCTGCTTTTTGCTGCTGTTTTGCTTCTTTTTGCTGCTTTTTTGCTGCTGTTTTGCTTCTTTTTGCTGCTTTTTTGCTGCTTTTTGCTGCCTTTTGCTGATTTTTTGCTGCCTTTTTGCTGATTTTGCTGCTGTTTGTTGCTTTTTGCTGCTTTTTTGCTGTTTTTTGCTGTTTTTTTTGCTGTTTTTTGCTGTTTTTTGCTGCTTTTTGCTGCTTTTTTACTGCTTTTTACTGCTTTTTTGCTGCTTTTTTGCTGCTTTTTGCTACTATTTTGCTGCTTTCTGCTGCTTTTTTGCTGCTTTGTGCTGCTTTTTGCCGCTTTTTTGCTTTTTTGCTTTTTTGCTGCTTTTTTTTCTGCTTTTTTGCTACTTTTTTCTGCTTTTTTCTGCTTTTTTTCTGCTTTTTTTCTGCTTTTTGCTGCTTTTTTGCTGCTTTTTTGCTGCTTTTTTTTCTGCTTTTTTTCTGCTTTTTGCTGCTTTTTTGCTGCTTTTTTGCTGCAAAAAAGCAGCAAAAAAGCTGAGGCCTTCTGCTTTTTTTGGAAATCGAAAAATGACCATCTCTGTCACAACATCCAACCAGGAGGCATCACGCCGAGGTCTTTTTGTACGTCTACCGCCCGGCTTCAGTCCATCAGCGACTCCAGACTTCTGTTCTGCGAGAGAAAAAAAACCCACCGGCCGTCAGAGTGAGGGACTCCTGCTCCTTTTGCCCAATTACCAGACTGGGAGAACAAATCTGTCAGAAATGAGACATGACTGCACTATTGATCTGTTTGCACAGCCTCCACTTTTTGCCCCCCACCCCCCCCCCCCTCCCTGTGTGTGTCTGGGGGGGGGGGGGCTGACGTCATGGCCCCTCTGAATGGCAGGGGCCGGCCAGATGTTAGAACTGGGCTATAATCACTCACTTTAGCACGGTATGTTATAACTTAATCCATGTAAATGACTGATTGTCTTATTGCTTTTTAGATGGGTGATGGGCATTATCTCCTGGGCTCCATCCGCCTCCTCAAAGGAGGACTGGACACAACCAAGTCCTATTGGCCAGTTACCTCTGGGCACGAACAGGCCAGGTCCTAATTCATGCAGATGACAGGAATGTGGTAACAAATGGAGTGTGTGTGTGTTGACCTAAAGGTGGATCTAATGCAACAGAGAAAGAAAAAGAGAGAAGTTTTAAAAGAAATAAGACAATCAGTAATTTACATAGATCATGTGATAGCATGCTATGCTAAAGTGAGTACTTATAGCCAAATTCTAACATATGTGTTGACCTAAAGGTGGATCTAATGCAACAGAGAGAGAAAAAGAGAGAAAAGACAGTCTGTGGACACAGCCAGAGACTTTAACAAAAAGTAGAGATCTAAAAAGAATAAAACAATCAGTAATTAACATAGATTATGTTATAGCATACAATGCTAAAGTGAGTCATTCTAGCCAATTTCTAACAACTCACTCTTCCATCAACTGGAATATTCAGTTTTCCATCGTGTTGCAAAGAAAACAACACAGAAAACAGAGGAAGTGTGAGTTTAACCTTTTTATTCTACGGTTGTTTGGATCTCTACTTCGGGCAAAGGGCTGTAAATATGCAAAGCAGGTGACTTCTTCTCCTCCCGGGGTCACCTGTGCAGAAAGGATTAGCATTAGCATTAGCCGGACCGTTATGGGCCTCCGGATGAGTCTCACCGGTGTTTCCTCCGGAGCTAACGAGGCTCTGCGTGAGGCTTCATTTGCCCGTAAAGTATTTCTCCTTAATCCACGGCCCTGAAAGAAAAAGAAAAAGAAAAAATAAATAAATAAACGCCAGGGGCCGGAGCTGTTAGAGCCTCTTAGTTCTGCCGGATTTAACCAGGTGGCGCGTGCGTTTTTTACCTCATAGTACACAGCTCATTTGAATCACAAACTTAAAAACCCCGGCCAAACGAACAGAGTCAGCGTTCTGGTTCCAGATCGGGCTTATTGGGCCTATAATCCCCGGCAGTTTTCCGCGCATCATCAAACAGGATTAGACCAACACCTGGATCCAGCCTCACCAAGAAAGTGGCTCAACTTTTAGAGTTACCGGACTGTACCAACGGCTATCAAGCAGCACCTGTAGCAGACCGTTAGCCCGATTCTTTAGTTGGAAACCTGAGAATAAAGCAGAGTGGATCAAAAGTATAAAAATTGACATTTATTGGGTCAAAGGCAAAGTAAAAAGCTCTCTCTGGGTCTCAGTGGGCAAAGAGCCCTGAGATCTGGGTGATGGGCATTATCTCCTGGGCTCCATCCGCCTCCTCAAAGGAGGACTGGACACAACCAAGTCCTATTGGCCAGTTACCTCTGGGCAGGAACAGGCCAGGTCCTAATTCATGCAGATGACAGGAATGTGGTAACAAATGGTGTGTGTGTGTGTGTGTTGACCTAAAGGTGGATCTAATCCGACAGAAACGGCCTAACTGGGGACAGGCAATGAGAATTAGCCTTAGCTAAAATGTTGTAGTGTGTGATATGATTCATGAAACATACTTGTCCCTATCAAATAAACGAGTAAATAAATAGATAAAAAGAAAAATAGAGAAAGGAAAAAAGAGAGAAAAGAGAGTCTGTGGACACAGACAGAGACTTCAACACAAAATATAGTTATAAAAGAAAATAAAATCAGTCATCTACATAGATCATGTGTTAGCATACAATGCTAAAGTGAGTAATTATAGCCAAATTCTAACAGTACCAACGGCTATTAAGCAGCACCTGTAGCAGATAAACTACAACAAAAAGGACAACAAATAACCCCGGTCACCACTCAGGATCGATATCCTCCTACCTGCAGGCCAAAGGCCCCCAGGAGCTAGCAAACCCTGTCAGGCTTCAAGCTAGCACCTGTTAGCCTCAGCCCGAGGCTATCCAACTCATGTTTGCAGATATTGCGCCACGTTGCCTCACTTTTTGCTGTATTAAGATGTTTCTAAACTATTTTCCTTTTTTTTCCACAAAAAAAGAGAGCCTTTGCTTCACAGTTAACCCTTTAAAGCCTGATCCAAGAATAAAACAAAACAGAAAATTACTTTTTTGGGGGTTTTAAGTCTTTATTTGGCCTTTTAACAAAATATGTAAAAAGAAAAAACTGAAATACATTTTTGATATTAATAATCTATTACTATGCGATAAGTCAAGATTATTTTTTGTGTACTCTTCTGCCCCCTGTTATCAGGTGTATCTGATTGTGTACAATAGGATTTTGAACAAAGTTTTTACCATTAAATTATGCAAAAGGTGTCAGACGCAAAACATTTCAGAAAATGTATGAATCAAATATGATACATTTGGCATTACAGGGTTAACTGCAACTTTTAAGTAGAAGCTAAATTAGTTTCTTTCTTTTTTTTAGGGGGGGGGGTCGTGTATCAACATATCGGTTTAACCTCCATGTGCCTCCCACACATCAGCTAAAAAATTATTATTAACACCAACAAGCCCCCAAATAAATGTGGAAAGGAGCCGGAAAATGTGCCGAAAGTGATGACAGCTTGATGACAGGTAACATAATGAGCAAAAAGGACGGGGACGGGTTTTTATTTTTATCATCGTAGCTCGGTCAACCTGAGAAATAATAAAATGTGAGGAAATCTGAAAAGAAAATGAGCAGGAGAAGAAAACAGCAGATTTCCACTTTCCACACAAGGACAAGATGTACCAAATTTCTGATCCAATAGTCGGGTTTTTATCCAATTTTTTTATCCGTTTTGGGTCATTTTTTTAATGTGAAACGTCTCTCTTTATAGGCCATATCTCTTTGTATTCAATTTTATTTTATTTATTTTTTTTTGTACCTTTTTTTTACCAGGAAGGATAGGTAAAAAATCTCAAGGGATAAAATCTCTTTCTTTTTTTATTCCTATTATTTTCCTGTTTGATTGTATTAATCTAGAAGATGCTTTTGTCCAAATGGGTTTCCTTATTGGGACCATTTGGGGTTCACTATCTCCTCTATAGTCTATAGGGAGGTTCGGCATTTAACCGGCAACTCTCTGATTGCTCCTGGGCAGCAAACATAGCACATGCCATTAAGCTTTCCAGGAAATTGATCTCTTAATTAGAGCATCAGTGTTTCCTCACTAATTCATTGATTTTCACTCATTCATTGCCTTTAAACAACTGTTTTGCAAACCTCAATTTTGTGATATGTACACAAATATTTGCAATTCTGACAGTTTATGTGCACAATTTCCTTAAAAAAATGCACCGAAGTGTGAGATTTATATCATGAAAAGGCACAAAGTCCACCAATACTCACTAAATGTGAGTAGAAATAATATAATATAATATAATATAATATAATATAATATAATATAATATAATATAATATAATATAATATAATATAATATAATATAATATAAATAACTATTATAATACAGTAATGACAACAAATACAGCATTTATTTACGTTTTTGTGTTATTTCCCATCAACCATTTATCAAATTGAATAAAAAATGGATTGGTGAAAAAAAAAACTAAGTTAAAAAGTAAAGACGTCATTACAAACAGGCAAACAGAGCATTGGTATGTGATGAATGTCATTAATTGCTCGTCCCTAAATTTATCAACAAGATCACATTTAAATGGAGCCGTAAAGGGAATTGGAAATGGATTTATTGCACAAAAAAAATCACTGTGATTCAGGATGACAACAGTCATGAATTCATTGGGTTGTGTTGGGTTTTTTTTCTATAAAACAAGGCCAAAAGTTGAGGACACAAGCCCGGAAATGAACATAGTTTGCCAAAGATTATGGCGACACTGCCCCCTACTGGTAGAACTGCCTCATCACAGGCAGGAGGTTCAGTGTTTACTGATATACGGGACTGTTTCAGAAAATTAGAATATTGTGATAAAGTTCTTTATTTTCTGTAATGCAATAAAAAAACATGAAATGTCATACATTCTGGATTCATTACAAATCAACTGAAATATCGCAAGCCTTTTATTGGTTTAATATCGCTGATTATGGCGTACAGCTGAAGAAACCCAAATATCCTATCTCAAAATATTAGAATATCAGATTTTTGAGTTTTCTTCAGCTGTACGCCATAATCAGCGATGTTAAAACAATAAAAGGCTTGCGATATTTCAGTTGATTTGTAATGAATCCAGAATGTATGACATTTCATGATTTTTAATTGCATTACAGAAAATAAAGAACTTTATCACCATATTCTAATTTTCTGTGACAGTCCTGTAAGCACAGGCCCCGGAGAGCCTTTTTCCAGGTTTAACCGCCCTCCGAGGTGCATAATTGTGCATAATTGTGCGTAATTGTGCGTAATTGTGTTAAAGTGTGAGCTCATGTTCCCATCAATGGCTTTGTGTTGGAGCTTGTGTCATTTTGGCAGAACACAAACGGCAACAGACACACAAATGTGTCGTATTTCAGGAAACTTTAGAAGCCAAACGGCCAGATTAGAGCAGAAGAACCTGAAGTTGAAACTTGGGTTAGGCTCACTTTTCCCACGAAGATTTATTCGATTGATTTTGATTGATTAAGCCTTCCAGGAAATTGATCTCTTAATTAGAGCATCAGTGTTTCCTCACTAATTCATTGCTTTTCATTCATTTATTGCCTTTAAACAACTGTTTTGCAGACCTCAATCTTTTTATTTCTATTATTTTCCTGTTTGCAGGGACTAGAAGAGGAAAAAATCAGAGTCTCTCATTGAGCCAGGGTTTAAATTAGTGTCAGTTCTGCTCCTTTAATAAAGGTTTTCCATTAATTTTATGCCTATTTTCTGGGTGGATGAACCCTTCTGAGGGGAAATATCAACTGGAAATCCAAGATTATGTGGGCATGGTAATGTCTCTCTATGTTCATTTTGTTTGTGTTTATTATTTAATTTTTTTATTCTTTTCCAGCCCATCTCTTAGAGTGACGTCATAATGTATCTGACATCTAACAGAATTGATCTGGAGATCTCAGAACGCTTTAATTGCTCCTTTTTCTAAAGGTTTTCCATCATTTTATGGCTATTTCCTGGGTGGATGAACCCTTTTGAGGTCTAATATTAACTGGAAATCCAAGATTATGTGGGAATGGTGATGTCTCTCTATGTTCATTTTGTTTGTGTTTATTAGTTTATGTTTTTGTCTCTTAATTATTCTTTTTTTAAGTTCAAATCCAGCCCATCTCAAAAAGTGATGTCATAATGTATCTGACATCATACAGAATTGATCTGGAGATCTCAGAATGCTTTAATTGCTCCTTTTTCTAAATGTTTTCCATCATTTTATTACTATTTTCTGGGTGGATGAACCCTTCTGAGGTGTGATATCTGAGACTATGTGGGAATAGTGATGTCTCTCTATGTTCATTTTGTTTGGGTTTATTATATTATTTTTTGTCTCTTAGTTATTCTTTTCCAGCCCATCTCAAAGGGTGATGTCATAATGTATCTGACATCTAACAGAATTGATCTGGAGATCTCAGAACGCTTTAATTGCTCCTTTTTCTAAATGTTTTCCATCATTTTATGGCTGTTTTCTGGGTGGGTGAACCCTTCTGAGGTGTAATATTAACTGGAAATCCGAGACTATGTGGGTTTGGTGATGTCTCTCTATGTTCATTTTCTTTGTGTTTATTATTTAATTTTTTTGTCTCTTAGTTATTCTTTTCCAGCCCATCTCAAAGAGTGACGTCATGGTGTATCCGCTTTAATTGCCCCTTTTTCTAAATGTTTTCCATCATTTTACGGCCTTCTGAGGGGAAATATTAACTTGAAATCCAAGATTATGTGGGTATGGTGATGTCTCTCTATGTTAATTTGGTTTGTGTTTATCATTTTATCTTTTTGCCTCTTAATTATTCTTTTTTTAAGTTAAAATCCAGCCCATCTCAGAGAGTGACGTCATAATGTATCTGACATCCAACAGAATTGATCTGGAGATCTCAGAACGCTTTAATGAAATATTTTCCATCATTTTATGGCTATTTTCTGGGTGGATGAACCCTTCTGAGGTGTAATATTACCTGGAAATCCAAGATTATGTGGGTTTGGGGATTTCTCTCTATGTTCATTTTTAAGTTTCCCTGTGTTTATTATTTCATTTTTTTTCTCTTAGTTATTCTTTTCCAGCCCATCTCAAAGAGTGACGTCATAATGTATCTGACATCTAACAGAATTGATCTGGAGATCTCAGGAGGCTTTAATTGTCTTCTAATTGACACCAGATCCATTTTAGATGCCTCCTCTTTATTGTGGGCAGCTGGCCTTCTCACGGAGAGCCCGTTTGAGTGTCCGTGTTCGTTTTTTTTTTCAACATAATGTCTGCGGGGCACTTTGGGATCGATGTTGTTCCAACATGGTGGAAACTCCGCACACGGCTGACTGCCCACCGCATCAATCCGGCCATAAAAACAGACCCACTTCCTGTTTCCCCGGCCCTGCCCTGCTCCTCTCTCTTTCTCTTCAGTGGACGGGGAGTTTCTGGTATTTTTCCCAGCGGTTGTGCAACCAAACGGCCGCCTGGTAGAGAGTGAAATGGTTTCAGAGCCTGGAGGAGCCCCGTGTGGGAGCGGTTTGAGGTCAGTGGATGGTTGGTGGTCACAGGGTTCCTGGAGGAGGTGGAGAAAGCTCCTGTGGGGGGGGGGGGTGGCTTGTTATTGGTTTCCCTGCTCCAAAAGAGGGTGGAAGTTTCTTTCCTGTCGTCTTCACACACACAGATGTCACTTTTTTCTTCTGTCTTGATGGGACTTCGGCTTTACCGGTGACCGCCTGAAAAAAACACAGTTTCGGGAGACTCGATCCAGGTTTTAACGGTAGGTGTCGACCCTTTTTTGTTCCTATTTTATTCCTGTTATTTTCCAAAAAGAAGAAAAAGTCAGTGTCTCTCATTGAAAAGGTTTAAAGCAGTGTCAGTTCTGCTCCTTTTTCTAAATGTTTTCCATCATTTTATGGCTATTTTCTGGGTGGATGAACCTTTCTGAGGTGAAATATTAACTGGAAATCCAAGATTATGTGGGTTTGGTGATGTCTCTCTATGTTCATTTTGTTTGTGTTTATTATTTTATGTTTTTGTCTCTTAATTATTCTTTTTTTAAGTTAAAATCCAGCCCATCTCAGAGAGTGATGTCATGATATATCTGACATCTAACAGAATTGATCTGGAGATCTCAGAACGCTTTAATTGCTCCTTTTTCTAAATGTTTTCCATAATTTTATGGCTATTTTCTGGGTGGATGAACCCTTCTGAGGGGAAATATTAACTGGAAATCCGAGACTATGTGGGTTTGGCCCCTGGGATCTCTCTCTATGTTCATTTTAAGTTTACATGTCTTTTTTATTTCATCTTTTTGTCTCTTAGTTAGTCTTTTCCAGCCCATCTCAAAGAGTGACGTCATAATGTATCTGACATCTAACAGAATTGATCTGGAGATCTCAGGAGGCTTTAATTGTTTTCTAATTGACACTAGAGCCATTTTAAATGCTTCTTCTTTATTGTGGGCGGCTGGCCGTCACACAGAGAGCCAGTTTGAATGTTTTACATGTAGTAAATAAATAAAAAAAAACGTATTGCTATTATTTAAAGAAGGAATTTCTTTACTATCAACAAAGTGCTCATAAATTATTCCAGGGGCTCCAGTGGCAGGAGGAAAAAGCTCTAAAGATACTGGAGCAACAACCTCTCCTCATGTAAATCTGAGTCACTATAAATATATCTATATATATAGATATAGATAGAGATATAGATATAGTATAAATTCACATGAAATGAAGGGAACTACAACCTGTAAACATATAACCCCGGAGGACTTTTTTGTGGGGGTTTTTTTGTTGTTAATTTCAAATCAACCATTAATCTTATTAAATAAAATAAAAAAAAGGAATGTTAAAAAAAAATAATTTAAAAAGTTAAGATATTATTATAAACAGGCAAAATTCCTGAGAGGCAAAAATGGGATCAAACAGATAATTCTTTAAAAAAAAGACCAGAAAATATTTTTTAATGAATGATGGAAGGGTTTTGTGTATTTCTGATATAAAAATGAAGAATACCATCAAGATTAAAATGATATGGGAGAATTTCAGTCTAATCTGCACACCTGTGGTCTCTAATCCGTCCAATGGCATTCATCCAAATCCTGTTGTTCATATTTGATAAATCCACATGGAGAAGGGATTACTTGTGGAAGAAGTTACATTCACAAATACCATCTCACACCCTCCAGTGCAACAAAGTAAGCCTCATGCCTTCCTTATTCTGTGCTCAGAAACATCTGTGATGAGCCAAAATATGATAAAAGCCTGAAACAAGGTCCCAATAATAGGTTTTCTATATGTTTAAGGCAAGGCAAGGCAAGGCATTTTTATTTATACAGCGCAATTCATACCAAGCGGCAACTCAATGTGCTTTACATTAAGACAAGACATTTTAAATAAAAGAACAGCATAAAACAGCATAAAAAAAACAACAAACAAACAAAAAAAACAATTTTTTTAAAGGTTAAAAGCAGGAACAAAGGAAAAAGCAGGAATATGTTTGTTACGGCTCCAGTGCTTTTGCAAAACCAAGATTACAATGTTAAAAGAACATATTAAAAAATAAATAAATAAATAAATAAATAAATAAAAAGGGGAAGAAAGGAGCATCCAAATAGGTTCACAGGTCACAGAGAAGCCTAAAAGTGACGTTTTGTGATAGTTTGAGACCATTTTAAACCAGATTCTGCATGCTTGAGAAAGGAGAAGCTGTAGTTCCTGGAACGGCCAGCAGGGGGCTGCTATGCCCAGTACAAAACTAGACACCTGTGGACACCTGGACTAAACTGGACTAAACTGGAGGTCCATTGCATGTGTAATGTCAGAGATAGTTGGATTTAAAGCGGTGGAATATCTCATTTACTGTGAATATTTCAGCTTTGGCCTCGATGTCTTAGGAATGGATTCATCTCAACAGAAACTTTTTCACTTTATGAGGTTTTCCGTTTTTTTCAGGCCTCTGAAAAGATTGTGTTTGCACTTTAGGTGTGAAGCTGTTGTTGTTTTTTTAAACACAACATCAGGTTAAGGATCAGAGGAACATAAATAACTAGAATACAGTAATGACAACAAATGCAGCATTTATTTATGTTTTTGTGTTATTTGCCATCAACTATTAATCAATTTGAATAAAAAATGGAATGGTAAAAAAAAAAAGAATTTAAAAAGTAAAGACGTCATCATAAACAGGCAAAATTCTTGAGAGGCAAAAATGGGATCAAACAGAAAATTCTTTAAAAAAGACTAGAAAATATTCTGTAATGAATGATAGAAGGGCTTTGTGTATTTTTTATATAAAAATAAAGCTTTGGCCTCGCTGTCTGGAGGTTTTCCTGCTTTTTTAGGCCTCCTGTGTTTGCACTTTAGGTGTGAAGCTGTTGTTGTTTTTTTTAAACCTGCAGTGTGAGGACAGAGCCACAGCAAATGAGGGCGTGGGACATTTTTTAATGGCCTGGAAATGTACCAAATTATCTTTCCTCATCAGATGAATCATAAAGCAAATCAAAGTCATTTGTTATTGGCTTGCTCTCTGAAGCTGCTGGCTGTAATTTCCTGGATTCCTGCCAGTTTTGGGTGGAGCCGAAACCTTTTCAGGGACGCATTCACCTGTTTTTTTTCTTGCTGAAACTAAAAAAAGGGGGAAAAAGCAGACTAATATATATTGCCTTGTCAAAATGAGCTGTTCTACTAGAAAAAGAGACAGAAACAGTGTCACGTCTGAGGGATTTTTGGGTGTTTTTTGTCCCGTCTCCATGGTTGTCTTGTCATTTCCTGTTTTATTTTGAAAGGTACATCCCCTTGTTTCAGGTCTCTTTCACTCCCCTGTGTGTCACATGTCTGATTTTTTTCCCTGATCACCATTTGGGATCCCCTGGGGTTCCCTTCCTTTGTGTTTAGATAGTCTGAGTCTCTTCTTGTTTGGGGCCAGTAGGTTTGGTAATTCGTCTTTGTCCCACTTCATACTGAGCTAAACCAAGTCCTGGTAAATCCTTGAAACCCGTTTATGCCTCCTAAGAGTGATTTTCATTTCTTACTTTATAACTTTTGATCCTCTTTTCAGAGTGAGTTTATTTTGTACTTTGTTCACTGCTTTGTCTGCCTCGTTTGAGTGATTATTATTTTGTACTCTTTTCTTTCGAGTGAACTTTTGTTTAATTAAAGTTTTTGCCAAAGATCTCTGCATCTGAGTCCTTCCTCGACTTCCATCAGCTTGACAAACGGAGCTAATCTCCAAACCGAATCGTTCCCACTGTTGGTTCGATTCTTTAGCTGGAAGCCTGAGAATAAACCAGAGCAGATCAAGAGTACAAATATGACATTTATTGGTCACAAGCAAAGTAAATCAGACAAATTCCCGGAGGATCTCAATTGAAAAGAGCCTCGATTTCCAGGTGTGATGGACAGTTTTCCTCTGGGCCTCCAACAGGAGGAAGACTGGACGTAACCGAGTGTTATTGGCCAGTTAGCTCTGACATGGATAGGCCAGGTCCTAATTCATGCAGGTTTTGGTGGAATGTGATAAGAAAGTGTGAATATTGACCTTAAAGACGAGTATCTACTGTAACAGAGAGAGGAGGAAGAGGCACAGACAGAGAGTTTAACCCAAAAGTAGAATTATAAAGGGGATCATTTAAAGGGGACATATTATGCAGTTTTTAAATATTTGATTATGTACATTTTGGACTTTGGAGGGCCTATCAGCAGGCAAAGTGTGAAAAAAAATGTTTTTGTGGGCTGCCTGCATGTTGCCCCCCCCTCAGCTTACTCCCCTATCTGTGGCAGACGTCGTGGTAGCGTGAGCGTTAGCATGGTAGCGTTAGCGTGGTAGCGTTAGCGTGGTAGCGTTAGCGTGGTAGCGTTAGCGTCGTAGCGTTAGCGTGAGCGTGGTAGCGTTAGCGTGGTAGCATTAGCATGGTAGCGTTAGCGTGCCGATGTGGGCACACCTCCCTGAAGAAGTGGGGGGATTGGCTGTGTCTCATTTGCATTTAAAGAGACAGGCACTCCAAAGCGAGCGCTCTGAACGGGGCTGTTTTGGGTTAGGGTTAGGGTTAGGGTTAGGGTTAGGGTTAGGCAGGGGGACTGAACTGCTATTGGGCTTCATCCTTATGGGATTTTGACCCAAGCTTGTCACAGACATTACATTAGGAAACCAGGGAACTAGCTTAACTTGATGAAATAGGGTATAATATCTGAAAAGGAACAATACAATCAGTCACTTACATGGATTAGGTTATAACACACTATGCTAAAGTGAGTAATTATAGCCCGATTCTATCTATTCCAACACCACAGAGTCCCTGATGTCGGGCTGCCCGGAGGACAAAAGTATAATTCTACAGGGAATAATATTAATCTAAAAAGGAATAAGACAATCAGCCATTTACATGGATTAAGTTATAACACATTATGCTAAAGTGAGTAATTATAGCCCGATTCTAACACCACACAGTCCCCTCAGGCAGGGGGACTGAACTGCTATTGGGCTTCATCCTGATGGGATTTTGACCAAAGCTTGTCACAGACATTACATTAGGACACCAGGGAACTAGCTTAACTTGTTGAAATAGGGTGTAATATTTCTCCTTTAAGTCTGAAAAGGATATAATATAAAAGGGTATAATATTTGAAAAGGAACAATACAATCAGTCACTTACATGGATTAGGTTATAACACACTATGCTAAAGTGAGTAATTATAGCCCGATTCTGTCTATTCCAACACCGCAGAGTCCCTGATGTCGGGTTGCCCGGAGGACAAAAGTATCATTCTAAAGGGAATAATGTGAATCTAAAAAGGAATAAGACAATCAGTCATTTACATGGATTAAGTAATAACATACCGTGCTAAAGTGAGTAATTATAGCCCAATTTAAAGAGACAAGCGAGCGCTCTGAACAGGGGTTTTTTGGCAGGGGGACTGAACTGCTATTGGGCTTCATCCTTATGGGATTTTGACCAAAGCTTGTCACAGACATTACATTAGGACACCAGGGATCTAGCTTAACTTGTTGAAATAGGGTATAATATCTGAAAAGGAACAATACAATCAGTCACTTACATGGATTAAATTGTAGCATACCATACCATGTAATTATAGCCCGATTCTATCTATTCCAACTCCGCAGAGTCCCTGATGGCGGGCTGCCCGGAGGACATCCCCCTGGGGGAGTGCAGGCTGTCCCAGTCCCGGGACCAGCTGACCCCGCCCAGCCAATCGGTGAGCACCGTGTTCAGCCTCTCCCGGAGCGAGTCCCTGTGGACCGCGGAGGGCCCCCCCGACCGGTGCCAGGTGTTCTGGTTCCCCATCCACCTGATGTCCACCGGGGGCAGCTTCCTGGCCTGCGGCCTGGTCATCAGCGGCCTGTACTTCGCCGGCCACTGCAGGAAGGTAACCAACATCCTGGGCCCCGCCCTGCTGTCCATCGGGCTCATGGTGCTCGTGGTGGGCGTGGTCCTCATCCCCATCACCAAGGAGAACAGGAAGAGGTCGGCCATGAAAAGGCCCCCCAGCTCCCACAGGCCCCCGGTCTATAACCTGTGACGCTTTAGGACTATTTCTACCCTCGAAAGAAACAACCCGAGTGGGAAAAATAAATCAAATTTAACCCTGTATTGCCAAATGTATCATATCTGATACATACAGTTTCTGAAATGTTTTGCGTCTGACACCTTTTGCGTAACTTAATGGTAAAAACTTTGCCAAAAATCCTATTGTACACAATCAGATACACCTGATAACAGGGGGCAGAAGACTACACAACCCAAGTGGGAAAATAAATCAAATTTAACCCTGTAATGCCAAATGTAGCATATTTGATACATACGGTTTCTGAAATGTTTTGACACCTTTTGCTTAATTTAATGGTAAAAAATTTGGCAAAAATCCTATTGTACACAATCAGATACACCTGATAACAGGGGGCAGAAGACTACACAAAAAATAATCTTGACTTTATCGCATAGTAATAGATTATTAACTCATTGACTGGCAGCCATTTTCAGAACAGAGAGTCCCATACTGCCAGAGTTTTTTGAGCATTTTGACTGATTTCTCAAGAGCCACAGAATAGTTTGTGCTATGACTATGTAAACACCGAAC